AGAATAGTGCAACAATGAATGAATGGAAACCCAAAATCTCTGTAAATGTTTATGAAAATTAATAAAATATAGAAAAAAAAATTTAAGGGAGCTCTGATGGCCTAGTGCCAAGAAGCTACACTGCAATTCCAGAGGTACTTGGTTCAAATCCACCAGATGCTTTGCTGGAGAAGAAGGGGCAATTTCCTCCTGTACCAGTGAAATCTGATTTGATGGTACATACACACAAAATAATAAAATTGAAAAAAAGGAAAAAGAATAAATTTAAACTAAGGTAATACTTTAAAATCTGCCTCTCTGTCTACAGAGAAGCAATAGAATTAAAGAAGTTTCCTGACTGAGCAGAGCAGAACTCTGACTCTTTACTGATGAGTAAATACTCTGTTTCCAGGGAGTCTTTATTCTGAGTTTTAGGAAATGGACAAGTTGCCTTTGTACAGCTTAAATCAAGATAATTACAAGAATAAGAAAATGCCAGATGCAAAACAACTATCAGATAAACTATTTAACTTGGGCTATGTCAAAGGTTTCAGGAGCCAATCTGAAGAGGCTCAACTGGATTAAAACACAACAAAAATGTCTTTGCATCACCTGTACTATTTGCTTCAAAGTAATCTGGGTTTGAGGGGAATATACAGCGATGGGGAGCTCTGGTGGCCTAGTGGGCAAGGAGTTATACTGCCAACTTAAAGGCATACAGTTTAAACCCACCAGCAGTTCCACAGCAGAAATATGGGCAACTCTTCCCGTGCACTTTCCAGCCTCTGAAAATGTTACAACTCCATGCCACACAATAACTACATAGAGAGGGATAAGCGAAGTGGCTACAGGCCAAAGACCCATCCACCTTGGTTTTTTTATTGTCTACTATCTAAGAATGATTTGTTTTCTTTGTAATAGCAGCTCTATTGTGTTAAAATTCATATGCTGTATAATTAAAAGAGGTATTGTGATGGGAAAGTCTGCTGTTAGGGACCTCTCTAAAGTACTCAAGAGCAACGATGTGTCTCTGGAGACTAAGGTGTGTCTGGTACAGGCCATGGTCTTTGCAATCACTTATTATGCGTCAGAGAGCTGGACAATGACCAGGGAGGATAGAAGGAGAATTGATGCTTTTGAGCTTTGGTGTTGGAGAAGAGTGCTGAGAGTGTCATGGACTGCTAAGAAAACAAACAGATTCTTCCTGGAGAGGGGTAAACCAGGCTGCTCCTTGGAGGCAAGGATTCTGAGGCTTCGTCTGACATACATTGGTCATGTTGTAAGGAGGGACATCATGCTTGGGAGGGTGGAGGGCAGGTGCAGGAGGGGAAGGCCCTCTGGGAGATGGATTGATTGGGTGACTGGGGCAATCGGGATGAGTGTGTCGGAGACAATGAGATTGGCACAGAACAGAGCAGAGTTTAGAGTTGTACATAGGGTCACTATGAATCGCAAGTGACTCGACAGCACATAACAACAACAACAACATACAATTCACTCATTTAAAATATGCAGTTCAAAATTCTATTAAAGTTATGCAAGATTGCTAAGATTGATTATGCAATCAATTTTAGATAATTTTCATGACTTGAAAAAGAAATCTTGAACCCTTTAGCAGTTACCCTTCCATTTCCCCATGTCTCTCAGACCTAAGTAATCACTAATTAGTTTCTATCACCAAAGTTTTTTCTATTCTATACATTTTATAGAAATAGACTTAAATAACGCAAGATACAGAGTTCTGCAACTCTACTCTTTCACTCAGACTAGTGTTTTCAGGTTCATCCGTGTTGTAATATGTACCAGTATTTCATTACTTTTTATTATTAAGACTGGTTGTTACATTTTAAAGGACTATTTAAAAACAAAACAAAAAAATTCCAACAAAGATCAAATGTGAACAGTCAAGTTAAAATATACACAATCTGACTCTACTAAAATTGTGCTGACCCTGGTACAGAAGATTGAAGATTTCAGCTATGTTGAAAATGACAGAAGCAACGAATGGGTAGAGAAGCTGTGGTATATTCGCACAATGGAATACTATGCTGCATTGAAAAACAAGGAACTCATGCAATATTATTCAAAATGGG